TTCCTTCTAACTGCCTGTGACAATAAGTGGAACTTCTGTTCATTCTTGTACTCATGTAAGTACTCTCGCCAAAAGAGTTTCATAAGATAGTAGTTAGTTATACTTTTCATGTTAATTAGTAGTAATAAAGTAGGACCCCACTTCCTGGGGTTTCCCCCCTCTCTGAGACATACCTTGGTCTCCAGGATTTAAGCCATGTGAGGCTTGCCTTAAGCCCCTGGCAATTAACTACCCCACACTCTGATTTGTAAAGGATTCAAACACGGTAACCAAAAGGGCAGAGACCAGAGATTCAAATGTTTCCTCATGAAAGCAGCTCTTCATCTCCCCCTCGCCCCAAGAAATGACCCGGCACTAAACATTTCCACATCAGTGAGAACCATGCTGACTTCCCTGAGAGAGAGGCAGTATAGCCTGGCCCTCTAGCAATAAGAAAGGACTCCTTCTCTGCATCTCAGGACTCATTGCCAGTGCAGAGGAGATCTAGCCCTCATGGGGGATGATCGGTGTTGATCTCAGACCCCAGTGCCATGCAAGAAACAGTGAAATACGGACAGTGGATGCCCCCCAGCTCTAAAGCCCTTCAGTCACAAGGAAGCTGGGAGTGTGAGACCCATGCCAGATGACTTTCTCAATGGCTGCCGGTCTGGTACTATTGACTCCAGCCCAGTGAGGAGAAATGTCAAGTCTGGTACCATTGGACTCTCATCTGAAGGAGAGTTATGGGAGTGCAGTGCTGGTGCTTCCATCTATTTAAGAGGCTTTCAAGGCTGCAAGAGTCCAGCTCTCCCTGCTGGTACTTTCCCCACCTGGTGGGAACAGGCACCAGAAACAAGAACAGCTATAGCACTTAGACCCCATATCCTCCCAAGGGGAAAATCAGCAATGAATTTGTAGCACTGATTACTTCCCGTCTCTCCACCGACAGCACCAGTCCCTGTTATGATCAGGACCACTCCCCTGTGCTCGCTGGGGAGTGAGTTTTTGCCATCTGACTCCAAAACCTAATCCTAATATTCCCCATAAGAGCCAGCACACATCCGAACACCAGCACCCATCCAGGACGTTTGTAGAGCGGCAGCGTGGTCTTTGTCCCACACCTTCCCAACTCACTATGCCGTCACGCAGCAGTCTGCAAATAATGCTGGATTTGGCAGAGCAATACCACACCCTGCTTGTCATTGAACTGTAAACCCAGCTGCTTAGGTGTCACCTACATTGAATGGATATGAGCAAGCCCTTGAAGAAGAAAAAAACTTCTTAAACTTCCATAATTATTGTTCTTCAAAGTGTATTGCTCATGTTCATTCCAAAACCTACCCTGCTATCACTCTGTTGGAATTGGCCAGCAAGAATTAACTCAGAGTGGTGGCTCCACAGTCCAATATATACTGGTGCTGTGAAGGTGCTCTTCCAGGAGTCATCCGAGCTGACCCAATGGATACCCCATGGGAAAAATGTTTCTGGCCACAGTGCATGCAGCACACACACACTCCTACATTGGAATTGACATGAGCAGTATATCTCGAAGAACAACAGTTACAGAAAGTTAGTAACTGGTTTTATTAATTGTAGAGCTGAAAAGCTATAAAGGAACTTTCATGATGCAACTAAACTGGAAAAATCATTCATGTTCTGTTAATTATGTTCAGAATAAGGTAGAAAAGATTTTTTACTTCTACTGGCCTTCTGGATTTTTTAAGTTTTTTTTTTTTCATTTTCTTCATATTTTGTTTAACAAAAACTGATGTGATAATTGGTGTTTGCTATTACAGTGAAGTGATCTTGTGCTGATATTTTATTCAATTTCATATGTTAAATAGTAACCTTTGCCACCAGTATTTAAATAGAAAATCTCCAGTAGTATATCTACAATCGGTTGTTATGAGATCGTGAATACAGAATACCTCATATTGTGAAAATTCTAATGCAGAGCAGGTAAATTGTACTTTCACTTTGATTTTGTAGTCAAAATGAACCTTAAAGGGGAGTTAGCTAAAACTACAATTTGTCCTGACTATATACAAATGTATGTGTTACTAGAAGATTTACCTGGCGTTGCTCAAGTCCTGAATTCAAATAAGTTTTGTTTTTGTTCAATTAATCATTGCTCTGGGGTGAGGTTGGGGATGAGGGGTTGAATATGCAGGCTGCTGCAGGGAGAGAGGACAACCTCTCTGACCTCAGGAGCTTGGGACTAAGGGTGTGTCTAGACTACAGGGTTTTGTCGACAAAAGTGGACTTTTGCCAACAAAACTAAACCTGCGTCTACACTACCGCTGAGTTCTGTCGACATAATGTCGACAGAACTCAGCAGTTTTGTCAACGCTGGTAAACCTCATTTTATGAGGAATAACGCCTTTTGTCGACAGAATTCTGTCGACAGAAGGCATTATTGCATCTAAACTGTCCTTTGCGTCTACACTGCCATGTCGACAAAGCAGCTTGCTTTATCGATAGAACTGAATGTAGTCTAGACGCTCTTTCTAGACAGAAGCCTGTAGTCTAGACGTACCCTAAGTGAAAAGTGCCAGTTCATGGCTGCTGCAACAGGCAGTGGGAAGGAGTGCATGCTCTCACCTGCAGGAAAGACACACAATCAGACAAGCTCTCTGAAATATAAAGTAAATAGCTGTTGCTTTCACCACTCCTGCCCCCTACTGATGCAGTGGACTTATAGTTGTCTTGGGCCCCAGCTCTGGCCTCTTGTTATCCCCCTGTTTTCATTCTGCAGTATTACTCCCTCATAGCTGACTCCTCCCTTTGCATTTTACAAGAAATAATTGAATTCCAGGTATATCCAATTATCCTGGCACAATCAAATCCTGATATTGTTTAAGTTATGATAAGACAAAGCTGAATATCAAATTTTGTGGTCCTACCTTTAACTGTATACTGTCTTGATCAAACAGACTCATGGATGGATGGACAGACAGACGCACATTTCTAAAAGCTATAGTAAGATTACTATTATATATTGTTGTAAACCGTAGGGACATCCCTTTTTCACAGTGCAGGTTTTTTTCCTCCCACACCCAAGACACTTATTCCTAAACTTATTCCTAAACTCATTAAACAGGTGCAGGGCCATCCTACCATGCAGATTAGAGGTAACCCTGCAGCTCAGCAGTTTCTTGTTGTGCTCTGTTTTGGAAGTGTTTTTTCATGAGAATGGCAACTTGTGTGTCCAGAAACTATGTGTCCGGGGAGGTTAAAGTGCTCCCCCCCACTGATTTTGTATGTTGCTCTTCTTAATGTCTGACTTGTATCCATTTATTCTTTTGCTGTTTGTCCAACATACGTGGCAGAGGAACATTGTTGGCATATATCATATTGTCAGCTGCCAGTCAATATTGAATGTCTTATAAATATAATTGGGGTTAAATTTCATAAGCAAAATAATGTCCCAGTAAATTTAATTTATGATTTTTCTTTTTCTTTTAGTCTGAACCTGAGGGTTTTTCTCATTTTCACTTGTACGTCTGTGCTGCCTTCCTTGTCAGGTGGAGAAAAGAGATACTGGAAGAAAGAGACTTTCAAGTAAGTAAATACATTTTTATTCAACCCTGCAGAAATCCAGGGATGATTTTTTTCCAGCAAGGCATTATTTATCAAATTTTTATGTACAGGGTTATTTATTAATTAATTTGATAGAGCAACAATAGCTACACTGAAATTAACAAAGCATCATTTTAAATCTCTTGTATCTGAAGAGATTGACAGTAAACAGTAGAATATAATAGGGGGAGGGGAGATGTACACTCTTGAGAAAGTTTTGCTTCAACCGAGACAGTCACTGAGGCAAACATTTCAGGAAATTTAACAAGGAAAGTTTTGGAATTTCAACAATGAGGTTTTCTGAGTAAGTAAGGTTGTCTCTAGACTGCAGAGGATGCTAGGATGCTATGTCACATCCAAGGAACATGTCTGATTTTTCAGAACAATTTCCAAAAAAGTGGATGCGTTTTCGCCATCCCTGTACTCCTCAATGCATGAGGAAGAAGGGATGTGTCAAAAGAGGTGTTTTTTCCTAAATTTGGCCCTGTGTAGATGGGCCAAATTTCGGAAAAGCCTCTTCTGAAAGAAAAGCAGAAAAAGATACGCAAATTGTGGTTCACAATTTGCGTATCTTTTTCCGACTTTTCTTTTCTGTCTAGACGTAGCCTAAATGACTGGCTGTAAATTGATCTATACAATGTGGTGATGTTGCTTATTTATTGTAATTAACATTTGTAAAGCATCAGTGATGTCATTTCTACATAGATAATAAAAACAGGCCAGTGTAAGAAAACATGCATGAAATGGCCTATTCTAAAAAAATGCTGTGCAGACACAATTCCACATCTTTGAAAACCAAATGATTTACTCCCGTGTCAGAATATGAATATCAAATCTCTAGCCAGTCTTTGCTCCCAAAGAGCTTACAATTTAAATTGTGCCTAAAAACACAGGGAGAAATGACATTAGGTCTGGAGCAGTGTCAGCCGACGGTCAGGGCAGTGAGTGGTGTGTGTGTGTGTGTGTGTGTGTGTGTGTGTGTGCGCGCTATACACCCGGGACTTCAACTGCTGAGACCGGGGTCCCTTGCAGCGGGCAACCTGGAGGAGGTTGACGAGCGCCCCAATAAGTTTGCAGGGAGAACTTATTACACTTCAGATTTTAGCTGCTAGAATCTGCGATTCCTTTGCAGCGGGCAGCCTGGGGGAGGCTGATAAGTGCCCCAACAGATCTGGACACAGATCCAAATGCCCAAGCTCTCCCTATGTCTGTCCCTTTATGACCGGCTGAAGTTCTTTTAAATTGTGCTTGGTTCTGTTACAGCAACTGAAGGAGTCAGGTTAAAGCTTAAACAGTTACAGGTTTATTGAGGAAGCTTATAAATCATATGGTTGCAATGGCTATTGTTCTATTTCTTAACTTCTAGCAAAATATAGATCTTAAAAATGGTTACAAAGAAGATAAAGATAGGAAAACAGAAATAATAGTACCAAGTAACAGCTTAATCTTTAAAGATCTCTAAGTCTGTGTACACTTAAGACAGAGGACCACATCCGGGTACAATTTTTACCCCCTTATGTGCCTTTCGACTCCAGCGTGTCAGGCCAGGGCCGGTCCCTCAATTCCTAGGAAAGACGAAAATACGAGGCGGGCGTTCCCATAGAACCTCGGGAGGTCAAACACCTAACCCGACAAGCAGATAGAGGGTAGAATGACACTCAAAGTGAGTGTGCTGCTGTACCCATCTTTATATCCATGGGGTCACGTATTTCTCTTTCTTATCTGTGATGCCAAATGGTGCTGGTCTGTCTTTTGTGAGACCAGTACTTACAAGGGAGTTGTGAACTTAATTTACACTTGTAAGATAGATAACTAAATTGGAATTACTGGGGATTCTTTTCTCAGTGGGAAATTCCTCTCCCAGGGACTGTGTGTTCGTATCAACATGGGTGCCAACCGGGTACTTCTTGCAGCCTTGAGGCCAGCTTATTGCCTTAATCGCTCTCTCCTCATATCTATGTTTTCAGCTTCTCAGGATCAGATGAGCCAGCATAGACTATGCTGATTTTATTGTTCCTTCTCTGCCCTGTATGCTTCAGAGAGGCAAATAAGATGGATGATATGGGGGGAGGGGTCTGTCTGGCTACAAGCAGAGAGGAGGTAGTACACAGAATGAAGTTACAGGACTCGTTTGTTAATACAGTTCACAGAATCATAGAACACTAGAACTGGAAGGGACCTCGAGAGGTCATTGAGTCCAGTCCCTTGCCCTCACGGCAAGACCCAGTACCATCTAGATCATCCCTGATAGATGTCTATCTAACCTGCTCTTAAATATCTCCTGAGATGAAGATTCCACAACCTCCTCTAGGCAAAGTATTACAGTATTTAACCACCCTGACAGATAAGAAGTTTTTCCTAATATCCAGCCTAAACCTCCCTTACTGCAGTTTAAGCCCATTGCTTTTTGTCCTACAAATAGAGGTGATCTTAAATACTCAGCCACATTTTTCTCTCATCTACACTTTTATTGCAAACAACTACAGGTTGAAATTCTCTAAACCGGAAATTCATATTACATTAGATCCTTCCTTTTATGGAAGATTCAGATTGTTAGCACAAGTGAATGGGTTGTATTGCTGAAACAATTCTGAAATAAGGTGGATAGATGGGGCCTGGGTTGCCAGATGTAGAGATTAGTGAAGACATTGTATAGCAGTCTTTCTTAAACTTTCTTCCAGGTGTGCTGCGGAGAACAACGGAGTTCAAAATGGCTGTCCTTAAAGGGGCAGGCGACCTTTATTGTTGCTCAATAACTCCCCCCCCCCCCCCCCCCCAACCCTTTTTTTTCTCTTCACAACAAAAAATCCTTGGTCTTCCTCATAAAAAAAAATATTGTTTGGTATTCCTCGGTTTTCAAAAGTTGTACAGGTTTCAACAGTCCCAGATGAGGGATTTTTGCCAGACCAGGGGAGGTTATTTCTGGCTCTCCCGGCCAGCTCCCCACCTCCTACCAGCCCCACTGTGCTGCTGACGCCCTCTAGGCAGCCACCACTGCCAGAGCTCCGGTCCCCGGCTGGCAGCCACACGCTAAAGCTCCAGGCCCTGCTGGGCAGGGAGACCTACTGCCACACACTGGGCTGGCCATGCCCTCTGGCAGCTCTCTGCAGGCAGCCTGCTGCCCTGCTTGCTCCACAGAGGTCCCTGTTGCAGGTCCACCACCAGGACTATGTGGTCCTAAAACATCTGTGCCAGACCATGGATGTTGCCAGATCAGAGTGTCCCAGTTTGGAGATTTTCAACCTGTAGTTGTTTGAAATAAAAATGTAGATGAGTGAAAAAGTGACTGAGAATTTAAGATCACCTCTATTTGTAGAACACATTGTTTTTCATGCAAAAATAGTAGTTTAATTTCTTTGATTTTGTTATTACTTTTCTTTAAATACTGAAATATACTGCCCTCTTTGCAAGATGTGCCTGGGAGCCTTGTCCATTCTAATGGAGCACATCTTCTCGGGCCCAAAGATCCCAGTCTCTTGCTGGCTGATCTCTGCTCTGCTGATTAGTGTTGTCCCATACATATAAACATTGTATACTAGCCCCAGAAAACATGCACTAAAGCAATCAATACTGCCTTTCCCCACAAAACAATTGATTTGTTGGGCCAGTTTTAATTAATGTTGGGCAGCCCTCCTAACCACAATTAAAATACTTAATGCTGCCACTCCAACAGCAAATTAACTCTGAGCAGCTCCCCATGAATAGCTTAATTAATATTGTCTCCTAATATGCAATTAATGCTGTTTTCCAAACAATATCTTAATGCTGGACACCTGTCCCTCCCAACTATATGTTGCACCAGGCACCATCCTGTCCACTAAAACCATTCATGCTGTTTCCTGCTCTCTCTAGCATCTTCCTCATCTCCTATACACTAGGCAGATAAGATACACATGTAAATATAAAATGTTGGGTGAAATATGGTAGAATTTTCATCTCAATGTCTAAATTTTATTTTCAATGTAAGCTAGTTTTTGTAGTTTACTTTCCATTGATGTCATAAAAATCTGTGTAAATGAATAATTCTGAAAAGTTTTAAACACATATGATTCCCAAGATAGACCTAAGTGATTCACCATATACATATGCAGTTATGAACTCTTGTGGATGTATATGATGTAATCAGTCATTTTGAAGGTGTTGAGTTATAACTCACAGAATCAATGAAAGTTATAGACAGTTTAATTTTGGGTCTAATTTTGGAAGTAATGAGCATTAACTATGACCTTCTAGGACTACTATGTCCTTACGACTGAGTGCTAGTTGTAACACTGTGATCACTGCAGTTGATGGAGCGGACAAGGTTTCAGGCTTAATTGGAATCAGGCAACTGGTAGGGATTACAATACTTGCTGGCAATTGTGCTAATTGGAGAGAACAAGAACTAAGGCTGGGAGCTCAGTGGGTGAGGAAGCTGTGTAAAATTACTCCTTGTGCTATGCCCAGTCATGTTTGGAAATTGAGAATTAACAACCGGGTTTGTTTGTGACTGGGCAACCACAAAAACAGGCTAGACAATGTTGCTCACAGAATAGCTGAAGAAGTACCCTGTAACACCTTACCTACACTGTAAATTTTTATTGTGTGTGTTAACACATGTGAAAACATTAGCATTAATTTAAAAAGATCATCTATTTAGTATGGATTCTAAAAATATCTACAATTATAAGGGAAGTATGTTGACAATATCCTGTCTATTCCATTTATTGCTGGAAACTTTTGAGGAAATGTTTAGTACTAGCCATTGTCAGAGATATGTTGCCAGTGGGGATACTGGTCTGGTCTGGCAATGCGATGTTTGCATTTTTTTTAAGCAGAGAGGATATTCATAGTGCATTCATAGGTCTACCTTATAAAGAATGAATAACCAGTATTTCTAACCTGGTTTGAAATAATCAAATGAAAAGTCTCTATGGTACCTATGTGGAGCAAAATTGTATAATGATTTGGTTCCTCATTTTATCAGTTGTCACAGTTTCTAG